CAATGTTTTTTTCATTGACCAATTAATAAATCGCTATTTATTAAGTAAATAGAAATGTGAAACGATTCTGTGTTTCTGACGTTATTCATGACGGTATATATAATTATACGTGATCACTAAACGAAATGAAAATGATAAATGTTTGATCTTATATAAAAAATTCTTCGAAAAAAAAAAAACAAAAAAAAAAAGCTTTAGAATATTGCTTTTTACTTGTACCTTTCCATTGTAGCTTTTCACTTATCATTCAATTACTCATTAATTTATAATAAGCAACATTAAAACGAATATTGAAATTTTTGCAACGGAACACGCAATGAAAAAGTTTAGAGCATTTGTTCTACTTTCGTTTGATTCGATTGCTGATGTGTTACAATGTGACATGCATGTCACTTATAATGCATGAACAAAAAGCAAGTTTTTAACACATTGCATACCAGAATGGCAAACGCGTGCGCCGATTAAAGAAACACAATGGTCACCTACTTATGTGTACTTTCGCTTTATATCCCGTGTTATCATTTACTCTCTATCCCTCGAAAGTCAGAGTAATAGATTGTATGCTAATACTAAGTTCTAGACTTTAAATACCTTAAATAAGATCATGCTAAGGTACCAAATATTTGGACGGCAAAAAAAAAAAAAGACAAACTGGAATTGATCAATTGAATTGTACATTCCAAACTTTAATTTGATCATTGGAGGGTGAGACGAGGAGGGTAAGACGAGGAAATAGGGAATGTCTATATTTAATGGCTTTACTTTACGTCCAACATACTTCATTGACAATCAGAACTTCAATTTTAAGATAATTTCTAATATTTAATTAGATTATAAATTACATTACGGACAATACAGTCAAACTCATAGAACTTTGTTCTTTGTTCGATAGACTAGAGTATTAAAAAATTGATCTTCTCTCGATAAAATATCGCGACATTCCTTACCTTTCCTTATTTACCCTTCAACAATTGTAATTTCTCATTTGTCTATATGTTTCTGAACAATTTATATGTTACTTATCAAATCTATCATTAGCATCATCATCATCATCATCACCTTGTGCCTTTCGATCACTCTCTTTAGTGCCCTCCGAATTGAACCGATGCAAATGTATTATTTTTGTTCGTCTTTCACCTCAATTGTATTCCTTGGAAATTAGCATTCTTCAGCTCTCGATACGTTTGGAACAACTCGAATCTCTGCACGCCTGGTGCGAATCGACGAGGCCTTATCCTACGAAGGGGAAAGCTGGATAGCCGACAGGCGGAGGATAGTAACCTGGGAAGGCTGGGACTGACGGTTGTACAGGTAAGGTGGTTGTGACGTACGTGGTGATCTCGGTTGGCACCACTCTGCTGGAAAACAACGTGGTGTACGCCGTTTTCGCTCCGAACGTCAGCTTCAAAATCTTCGAATCGGACACGGTCGCGAGCGTTTGCGTGACCAGAGGGGCGCTCGTCACTGTGAATTGCGGTTGCTGTGGAAACAGTGGCAATTGCGGCGGCAATTGCGGAGGCAATTGCGGCGGTAATTGCGGTGGCAGAACCGGCGCGATTGTGGACGTGCCGTATTCATAAGACGTCCGTGGCACAGTGCCGACTGGCCTGGATAACGTCGAATAAATCGTGTTGCCGTTGGTCACTACAGGAATCACGTGAGACTCGTAGAGCGTGTCGAGAACGACAACCGGCCGAGAAGTGGTGATCACCTGTGGCTGCTGTTGACCGAAATATTTCAACAGAGCCAATTGATCCGGTGTCAGTTGCGGTTCAATGGAACTGCTGCTCGGTGTTTCTGACTTTACCTTCGAGGACGAAATGGACTTGAAGGGTTCCAAGTCGGAATCCGTATCGCTGTTCGGAGCCACCACTCTTTTGGGAATGTCATCGTCGTCCCTGTCTTCATCACCTACGTCTAACTCCAGATGAAGTTCGCTACCTGCTTCATCCAGCTTCGAGTTGAACTCGTTCAACGCTTTACTGGGAATGAACTGATATATGTCCATCGGTGGCAGAGTCTTCGTGGCAGTGACCACACGTGCGATGTTATATGTTTGCACGAGGGTCAGTTTGGTCGTGTTACCGCCGTATATTACTGGAAGCAAGTGAGTCTTGAGAAGAGTTTGGGTAGTAGAGAAGGTCTCGGTTAAGGTCTCCAAAGGTGGAGTCGCTTGGCCAGATTCTAAAGATATAGCTGGCAGAGTTGCCACAGCCGAATCTAATGGCAGTGTCGTTTCATACGCTGCTGCAGTATTTGCCAGGAGATTCTCCGTTAGAGGTTCCGATGGCGACACTGTGCTCGATGGATCTATCGTTTGAAATGACTTCTTTATCGTTGAAGTTACTGTCACGTAGCGAGTATTTTTCAATGTTCCAACCTGTTTTCAAAAGAACCGACATTTCATCAAAAGACATATCGCAAAAAGCAATAACACATGAAAACGCATGTAAATGATTTCTTACCTGAAACGTATATGGCGATTTAATGGTAGCAATTTCAAAGTACACGTTGCTCATGTCGGCAATTGTGGAAATCTCCAGATTGATTGTTTCGACCGGTAAAATTTGTTCAGGATGATCTTGGACGCTGACACTGGCAACGTCCTCGCTTTCACTCGGATCTAATTCATCATCATTTACCCCTTCCTGAATTTTTCTCTGGGCATTGACTTGTTGACCTGTTGAAACCGCAGCCGTCGTTGTTGACGTGGAAACGGAAGATGCAGTAGTTTTGTTGTCGTCGACGTTCACCGGGCTCTCAGTCGTACTGCTTTCTAATATAGAACGTTGCTCCTCCTCGATATCCGCTTGCTTTCGAATGGCGATCCTCGGCTTAGGAGTCGTCTTGTAAGACCAACGGCCTTGAGTTCTTGGTAGCTTTAACTTGGGCACGGGATTGGGACTGGCCGGTTGTTGTTCGCTTCTATTTTTGTTATTTTGTTTCGACGGCAGACTTGGTTGGTTGCTCGGTCGAAAGCTGCTGCGACGACGAGTGACAAGTGGTTCTGTGGTCGTTGTTGGAGGGCTTCGATTTCTGATGAAAATTAATTACACGAGGATCACGTGAAAATACGATAAGATACAATTTTCTACATGTACATATATAATGAATATAATTAAACAAAAAAAAAAAAAAAAAACGAACGTTACGATACTAACTTGTAACTTGGT